CATTGAACTGTTTACTTTATCTAATAAAATCCTACTTAACTCATCTGGCCAAAATGATTATATTTTCCAGGATTCCTTATTATGCTGGTTCATAGATTCAATTGAACCAACAAATCAATAATTATTGAGGGTGTTTATACACATCATCTGATATTAACCCATCAGTGTAAAAAGTTCGGAAACAATTGTTTTCAAGTTTTCTCCCTGGTAAAAAGTTTGTTTTTGTGATAGAATGCTTTTTGTTGAAAAATTTACCAATATATGCATTAGGATAAAAAAAAACTGTCAACATTACATTTATTTTCACTACGAAATAGCCATAATAAAGCTCAAAGTGGAATGAAATGTTGAATAAATACAAAAAGCTCAAAGTTATTTCCACACAATAATGTTCATAAAATGAACTTAGTCGGCGGTCTTAGGACTGCGGGCTGGAGACTAACCTGCACTGTTGAGAGTCAAAGAGCTTGAAACCGGTCTGTAGGTGTCTAGTGTGGCCTGTCTAAATCGAAATCAATAGGCATTCAGGAAAGAATCACTTGTATCAGTATTCGTTTATACGAGTCCATGCATAGATTTCGGGAGGATGTTATTCAACGTTCTGCATGGCATTAGCCAGTAAAGTAGTTGTTTTTCTGCGGAAATCTACCATTGTTGTTCATTCTATGAACATTGTGTGGAAATGACTTTGAACTTTATGTATTTATATAACATTTATTGCATAAATGGAATGGAATGAAACAATATTTTGGGTGTAACCGTTTATTGCACTTGGAACAGATGCCAGAACAAAAACACTCTCTCTCAAAATGGAATGAAGGTTTTTATATGCATATAATGAAGACTTGCCAGCTCTACTATTGTAGAAACTAATTCTTGATCGAGGAACAACTTGAAAACTCAACTTGAGTTACGTTAGAAAACTTCTTCGCTACATGGTTCTCTTCTCTTCGGAGATCTCTGGATTTATCTGCCAAACATATTCTTGCTTTGACGATTTTGGCTTCGTGAATTTTTTTCTGGATGAGACATACATCCACCATCAGTTGATTTGAAAAGTCAGGAGTAGCAATGTATCATCACGGAGAAGCTTGGAGCACTCACTATACGTCACGGTAGGGTGATCTCCCCTACCACTGTACCACGGGGATGAGTCAGGGGTGGTCAGGGCCTACTCAGAGTAGGCCCTGGATTTCCCCTATCTCCTGAGGTGGCTGGGATATGCCGAGCTGTGGGGCTTAGATTAATGCGGGTTGTGATGGCATGCGAGAGGTGATCTGACCATTGAGGAAGTTGCAGCAAAGAAATAACGAGAGTGTGATTATGGACCACACAATTTAATTGAACAAAGCAAGCAGTGAAATTTCACAATGAAATATCAGCAGATTCAGACCTGAAGAGTATAACTTCTATATGGTCTAAGTGCCAAAAATCTCGAACCGAGATATTCACTAAAAACTGAATATTATAGTATTGAAACATATGTATATCGGTTTATATTTTTATTTTATTTTGGGAAACCCAAACGAAAAAATAATTGAGAACAAAACGAACTATCCTTGAAAACATATTAAATGTTTGAATGTTTAGTAAATGGTCCAAGTGCCAAGAATGTTTCATTTTCAAACGGTCTTACAACTGAAGTCTATGTTCCCTCATGATCTGGGTTTCCTTCAGTTAGACTCGTTCAGTGGTTTCAGCTATTAAATTTTCATAAAAACCAAGATATGCCAAAGAATTTTTCTTTTGTGATACGGTTTTTGCATTCCAGTAATGGGATCGGGTCTGATCTGAAAGTGGCAAACTGTTTTCCTTTCTTCAGAACATTATAGGTTTCCCAAGGTGCTACGCTACTGAAAGATTTTCGAATAGATACCACAAAAGGGTAGGAATTTCTAATCAGGATGCTTAGGAAATATTGAGTTTTGAAATATTTATGTATGCATCGGCGAAATGGTGCAGAGATTCTTGAAGTCATTTTTTCCCATGTGTACAACAGTATAAGGGCTTTTGTGGCAACTTTCTATGATCATTCTTTCAATATTTTCCGGATCATGAAGTTTTGTCAATCTTTTGCGCCTCTCAATCTGAACAAAATCTCTATCACTCTCTGGCAGATATATGTGTCCAGATATCAGAAATTTTTGTTCTATCTGTGAAAATCTACCACTTGCAACAAGGTATATCATTGTTATGAGGATCATTCTGTTCTTGTTCTGGCCATTGCAATTGTCACTCAAGATGCAGAGCTTCTCCTTGACACCCAAATTATCAGATAGTAGAAACTTTGAAAGCGCGGAGCCTATCTCATTGCCCCCCCTGTCTGTCATTGATTCATTCTATAAGATCATTGTTGCTGTATTATTGTCAGCAATATGGATGTCGAAGTTGTAACATGACATCTGTCTGCTATAAAACATTTCTGAATGCGTCAATGTGAAGCGGCACTTAGACCGTTTCAACATTAATAGCCCTTGGTACATGCAGATTGCGCCATCTTCCCGGCACACCTGAAAGAAGTATCACTGCATTGGCACTTTGCCCGCTTACAAAAACATTGGCGATGGCACATAGACCAGTTTAATGTAAAAATCTCAAAATATGTGAAAGTGGAACTCAGACCATATAGAAATTATACTCTTCAACTGTCGATTGCCTCAACCGATTTTCGCAATTCTCTTTCAGTTTCTCAATGCTCGTTTCATCTACTATCAAACTCATAGACATAATTTTAGCATCTCTTCGGAATGAGATTCTACAAAATGATGGTCAAAGCTGTTTAGTTTTCCAAAAGAATTGTTTTCTAATTTTCTTTCGAGCTGAAAACATATCGCATCATATGTTTTCTCGGTACTGGTGAAAATTGTTCGAAATTGTCACACTGTTGTTACCTACTGGAATATGAATCTTTGAGTATATGCATAATTTGATGATCTAATTACTATTGGCTGCGTGTTGCTGTCATTCTGTATACAGGGTGGCAATGAGGGTGGGCTGCAAACAACAATTATGTCATCAAGTAATATGAAAACGAAATTAAAATTCTTATTTTGACGATTAGAGTAGAGTTTTCTGGCGATCGAAGCGTATAGGCGAAGTTGTCCTGACCATGTCAAGTTGTTAGAGAATCTGTTGTAAGATCAAACCACTGGAATTTTTAGGACAACCAGATTTTCCTAGCGTCATTCTCGCATGTGATACATGTATAATTGATAGTTTGAACGCAAAGAAGAAAGAATAAAGAAATATACAGGAAATATACTTGAAAATTGTGGAATTCTTTCTCATAGGCTAGACGAGGTTTCTTGGGCAAAAAAACATTTGAAGTCGTTCAGGCGAATTCCCTCAGTTGAGGAAGAGTACAACTTAAGTTTGTCTCTTCAGAATAGGAAATTCAGAATTTTGATATACCAACAACTTCAATTTATATCGCTGGAATATGATGTTAACTTGAATAATTTTTTCACCATCTGTCAAATTTGGAAATGAATATTCGAATGTTTTTTCATTGTAAACAACTATACTTACTTCATATCTTATGAAACTATTCTGAGAAAATGTTACTAAAGGGACTTAAAATGTTGAAATTAATCAAAATCTCAATGGTACCAGTTGGACTTGATTGAAGTGGTATGATGGTAGGAAACTAAATTGAAGTAATTGATCTCCAGTGAACATTATTCTTATCTTTCGGAGCGCACGGAAAGAAATTCCTATTGTAATCGTGGAGGATCGTAGGTATCGGCATTTTTGACCTTATAAGCTCTTGGGTATCAATTCAAATCTTTGTAGTTCTATTCACAACGGAGTTTTCATAGAGAGTAAATCGACATATCTCGAGGTTGACGACTTTGATTTGAAATGTGCGACATAACCTCGTTTATCTTTTCGTACCGTGAAAGCTTGCAGTAATTTATCCAATAATTGCTATTTGCATATGCGTTAAACGAGCAAAATAATGAATACGTCGATAAATAGCTTCCAAAGAATCGATCTTTTCTCACGTTTCCACCAATCTCAATCTTTATAGGAATCCAGCTCAATAAAATGTAGCAAACGGTATTGTTAATAATCAGGTCTGCAATGAGATACATTTTCGTGGTAATTCTCCTCCAATTGCTGGAAATATTCGCTGAATCAGATGACTGTGAGTATAAGAACTAGTTAGTTTCATCAGTTTCAACAATTTGATTCATAAAATCTTGAGAACCGATTATGCCGTAACTCTGATATGTAAGTCCGCATTTAACGATAATATTGAGTGATAAAACTCAACATAATGCTATAATTTGATATAGAAATTCGAATTATACTATAACGAGGAAATCTTACTTTCAGGAGCATAATCATGAAATTCATTTTCCTCTACATTTTACTGTTTGAAAAAAAAACATAAATAGATTGTGGCGCTCGACTAGTGATCAGAACATCGAAAGGGTGATAGGTTCGAATCCCCAGTAGAGCAGAGAATTTTTATTCATAACATGAGTAATAAATTCTAATTTTCGTAACCTCGGCCAGAGATGATTTCGCACGATTCGCTGTTGCGTTCCAACTAACAGTGCTGCTCCTAAGGTGGTGTATGGAGTAAGTAATAAAGCCTACACAGAACCCACATGGGCAACGAAGTAAAAATAGTACTACTATAAATATCAGCTCATATCTCCAGACTTTATAGAGGGCTGACTGGGACATGTCCATTATCCTTATTCATTACTCTATTACTATTTTTGAATATCTCTAAGCTTTCATATACATTTAATTTCCTAACATTATTCACTTGCTCAACTAATTTGAGGTTATTAATATGTATGTTATGATTATGATTGAATATGTGTTCGGCTACACACAATTCATTTAACCTACCATATTCAAGATGTGCTGAGTCTTCTTTGAACCTTGTTTTTATGGGACGCCTGGTTTGACCTATATATGTCTTATCACAATCATTCCAACTAACTTGTGTGTCTACCTCTCTTTTGGATTACCTGATAAATTGCTTAACTTTGACCCAGACTGATGAACGCTTTCAAAACTTGATGATTCTTTGAGAACCTTACCAAGTTCCCTTGTGTACTTGGGATTGAACAGGATTGGGATTCTTTCCAGATTGTTTTATCCGCTTGAAAACTCGTAGCATTTCTTAGTGTTAACTTAAATTTATGTCTACGTATTGATTTATCCACTATTTTGATATCATAACCATTGACGTTAGCCACTTTATAAACAGCAGTCCTCTCAACATCGAATCTTGGTTTGCTCAGAGGAAATGAAAATAGTCTATGTACTAGAAAATTTAAACTTGCCATTTTGTGATGAAAATAGTGATTGAAGTTATTAGTTATGTCTAAGTGTGTTAGTTTCTTTTCTAAAGACCAGAGGAGTAGTTAGGAAACAAATTTCAAGAAATGTGATCAGTTCTAAACATAACTTTCAACGGAACACTCAAAATATCATCAAATGATCGAGGGAAAACTGCCGATAAAGGTAATGAGGTTGTTATTTTGGATAAGGAGGATTCAAAGGGTTGACCACCTCATTGAAGATGGTCCTTATAGAAAATCAACTAGAAATCCATTCCCAAAAATGGTGAGTCAGGTCAAATCAACTTTGAATGAATGTTTAGACATTATTACATCACATAACAAACATAAATTACAAATATCTTACCCAATCGGTTTGGTTAGTGGTTGAATAATGTAGAGTGTAGAGTATTATCGTACCAAAGGATCCAGTCTTGGATATACCATCTATTCAAATAGAGTCTTATAAACATGAAAATTAGATCGGGAATATTGTGGAAGTGTTCTGAATTTTTCAATTTTCAAAACGATGTTGTGTTAGGCATAAAATTGCGCGACTTTACTTTTCCTTAATTCAACCGACCCTGTATCTCTTACCGTTGGGGATCCCAATGATGAGGTTCGAATCGAAGCCACCCTGTACATAGTATCATAACTTTGAGACAAAGCAGCATCAAAATCAAGGATCATACAGATGTCAGTCGAAAAGTATGGGAAAACTTGGCTCGAGCGTAAGTCAAATCACGTCCGCCGAGAACCATAAATCAAACCGAGATGTTGGACATATTTCAGCGTTCCAATCAATATAGCTGTGTTCCCCCTTGACAAATGATAGACGTCGATAATCCCAAACAACTTTGTCCCAGTCAGGCGGGTATTCGACTAGATTATCTCGAGCGAAATTAATCGTTCCATGAAAGTGTTCCCGAACTAAAGTTTCCACAATTTCAATATCCTTACGAAGCCATTTTTCTTATAACAGTAAAAATAAATGGAGGGAACCAGACCACACTATTTATCTCCAATTGTTCTGAAATAATTGTTCTAAAATTGTTCTATCCGTCCTCAGGAGCAACCCTCAGAATTCTTCAAGAGACTTGTGCACATACACTATTTCTACTCCATATCCACGGTTCGTTGGAAACAACTTCATGTCTTGTACACAGCTTCGCGGATGATAGTACCCTTTATACCACCTTCCCTTCCAGGGCTCCAATACCAGCTAGGCAAATCATAAACGAACGAGGGAGGAATGTTGACAACATAAATATGGACTTGACAATTCTCGAATGGAGATCCAATAAATTTCAATGCAAACGAAACACGAGCATGCCTTTTCTCTAGAAAAGCCGATCCCACCGTACCCAACATAAGCTTGCCAGGAGTAACCATACCTTTGAAGACATCCATTTCGATGCTTGGTATTACTATCAGCAATAACCTTTCTTGGGAAAATCACGTGAGATCAATTGCTAAAAGTGCATCCCAAAAACTTGGTGTTCTGTTTCGGGCTGATTATGATCTATAAGGCACAGATCCAACCTGGAATACTCTTTCCATATTTGGACTGCAGCACCCATACCCTGAAACTGTTGGATTCTGTGCAAAAAAGGGCAATTCGTCTCGTGGGTGATGTCTCTATCACAAACTCACTCACTTCTCTGGAACACCGGTAGAAAAGTTCGCGATCTGGCTCCATTTTATAGATATTTTCGTGGCCGATGCTCTTCTGAAATATCAACAATTATTCGTCTCTTGGCAGTCCCCGCGAGATTCACCTGTCGAGTTGATGATTCGCACTCCTTCTTGGTCACTTTGGAGACCTGCAGAACATCTCTTTCCAAAGACTCGTTCATCCAACGAACATCGAGGCTCTGGAACACATTGCCAAGGGAGGTGTTTCCCGAGGCATATAACCTCCAGAAATTCGAGAAGAACACCAATTCCTATGTTATTTCCCTTGGTTCTCACGATGTTCTCTGAACAACACAGGATATCCCTCTTCGTGGGAACCAGAACATAAAATAAACCTTGTAATCCCTAACACTTTCTTATTGTGCCATCAGAAAAATTTCTGCAGTCGGGGATTTGATCGTGATTAGAATACTAACGCTTCTACCTGGCCTAACATGGACAGTAATTTTTCTGAAAATATCTCGGAAAATAATAAAGTCATGAAACCTTCTCATACTTTTGGAATACAACATGAAACGTCAAAATGAATTTCCAGAAAGTGTCTGCTTGGTGGTAAGGGATTTACTCAATGATTCTGTATGGACCGATGGTCTCGTGACTTGTGCGCCCTGACCCCAAGATATCGTGACTATTGAATAGGTACCTGAATTATACTGCCCTGCTAAGCATACCCCTCCTACATCGACTTCTTGCCGATAATGAGTTGGATCATATATGAGAATACTAGTACTTTCAATATAATGCTATATATATGGAAACTGGACTCTGTATGGACAAATATTCTCATGACTGGCACCATGACCTCGAAATGGTATGACTTCTTAATTCCTCATTTATCATTTCGAATACACGAATCAACCTTATATATTCCTCACTATGGATAGCATATAAACAATTCAATAAACTGGAACAGTAACAATTCAAATTTATTGAAATAATATTTATAATTTGAGAATGTTATTTTCCTGAATATTCTGAACATGTTTCATCATCATTGACATCTACCATTCCATCTACGCCTGCACTTATGAAATCTTGCTTGAGGCCAGTCTATTCTAGTAGCACGGTATACCTCAACTCCTTCAAGTTCAGCTCGGCCAACAACTCACGTTTGATTTTTTGAAAACCGCTTCTTTGCAAAAAATCGTCAAGCTTTTCATTGTTTTCATCCTCGGCTTTCTGGTGCAGCTTATTGGTACACTCCTTCAACACACACTCTTTACAATTCAACCTAGAATCGAAAGGAACAATAGCGTTTCTGAAAGATAAACAGCAAGAGTTGGAGCTGCTGCTTATGAGCTCCAGCTGGTACTTAGCGTTTTCTTGAGGGTGCAAGGAGAAAACGTTGATCCATACGTTCTGGATAGTGACCACCGTGTACACCAAGAAGGGTAGCCCGTCTTTCAGCAGCAGAACTATGGTGAACTTCTTCTTACCTTCTGCTATAATGTTTACTGGTGTTATGAGCACGTTCTCTTTGACATTGCTGTGATGCTGCTTGGTACAATGCTCTACCAGCTCTAGTACGTTTACTATATCGCTGCATTTCCAGGAAACAGGACACTTCATGATTCGGTATGGACAGTTGGTCTCGTGACCTGCAGCTTGTCCCCAAGACAAGATTTCTTCGCAGTTAGGGTAGGTGCAAGGAAACAGGCCTATTTTAGCTATGGCTTCGTAAATGTCGTCTTGGTTGTTTATGGGAGTGTTGATGTGGCTGCAACGACCGCACTTGTGTTGTTTCCCATGAGAGCAAATAGTTGTTATTGGGGGGACAGATAGATAGTTGAGACACAGAGAGCATCTGAGCTGGTCCAGAGATTCTTTGGGAAGCAGTGACATTTTCAGCTCTAAAAGTTGAAGAAATTTTATGAGAAATAGTGTGTGATTTCGTCGTTTCGACTCACCTTCAATAACCGGTCACGCTGCAGAAGTAGATATTCGATAAGTGGTTAAAATCACAGATATTATAGGTATTCATTTTAAGTTGATAAGATTGTATGTAGATTCATATTGAGTTTTTTATCTATGAAATATTTGATAAGATATTGTATCTGGTTGTTTCAATGATTATTATTATTCGCATACATAAGGAAATAGAAAAAGTACCGATTGAAAAGTTAGGCATTGGGCCTATACAGAGTGATCATCGAGTAATAATTATACATGAAAGTACATCAGTAGATTTTTGACCTCAAAATGAGTGATCCTTGAGAATTTCTCCAGAATTCAACAGGCCAATTTGAGTTATAAGAATTCTTCGTACAATCTCTGATGATTGTTTCAAATAATTTTTTCAAATGATTTTGGAGCGTTTGATCAACTCCCTCGTAGATGTTCGTCACTTAATACTCCGAATCAATGTGCCAAGTTCACGACATCCCTTCAATAGTCCAGGGCAGAAGCTTTTGAAAATAGTGATAAGTGAAAAAAAATAACAGTTGGATGAAACCCATTGGAAAGGAAAGATAATATAACAAAAATGGAAAGAAATAGTTATTTATGTACCAAGGACGAATAACTGGCTATCATTGTTGAGTCTACAAATTGATAGCCGAAGCCTAAGTCGAGGCTAGCAATCAGGCGAGACAGACAGTTTTTTGAAGGGTAAAAAACGGTTCATTTTGATCTCTAGCTTCCTTAGAAAAACATGGGGAATCTCTCTTCAGGTAGATCGCTCCACGTGGTCCGTGGTGGTGGACGGAGTATCGTCTGATAGTATATTGCCATCGATTCCAGCGTTCCACAAGGATCAATTTTGGTACCAACATTATTCCTACTTCATATCAATGATCTACTGGGAGTAACCGCTGGCCATATTAACTGCTTCGCGGATGATAGTATAAAATGAGCCATAGAATAGAATTGAATATAATAAAATAGAATAGAATATTTATTCATCCTTTGTGTTCATATACATGAAATAGGACATGTCAGTCAAGAAGTATTGAAAAATCTGAGAGTAAATCGAAATATCAACCTACATATTGAAAATAAACCATCATAACCTTCATAGAAGAATCACAAACAATAGTATATTATGTCACAAGTGTTATAAACGTCCTTTTAGTAACGAGTAGTTTAAGCTCGAGTGGAGCAGAGCGGAGCGAGTGTTTAATAAACGAGTGTCTAGAAGAGTTTATGAACGCGTTACATGCTATGATTTTTCTTCGAACTCCGAAAATTACATAAGAGTCCGACAACGATAACTTTGGGACAGCACGTGGTCGCGTATGCATTGAATATGCATATGCGTTGCGTCCAATGCTGTCCCAAAGTAAACGTGGTCGGACTCTAATATACCTGCAATTCCTGCTAACCTACCAAATAATTCGAAAGAAATGGGAATTGGGAACATAATACATGCAACTGCATGCAACCAGCCAGACACGTATAAGTGATATTGGTTGTAGATGTGTCCAGTCCATTGCTTACTAGCCTTTGTTTCACGTTTATTGTCATGCTTAGCGCAGAATAAATAAATTGTTCTCAAAGATGGATGCTTCATTTTTACACTTCTTGGAAATATGCAAGTACCAGAACATTCTCTTCGATTTCACTTTCGTCTACTTTTCGTATATATTTTTAATGAAGAATTCTGATACAAACGAATATTGTTTGAATAATTCTGATACGAATTTCGAAAATATCAGTTGACAGTCAATTCAATTGACAGGCCAGAGATGTCTCAAATTACTGAAGCTGGTGTTTAATGAACTGTGTTGTCATGATAACGTGTTTAAGAAATCGTGTTGCCATGGTAACGTGTTTAATATTTTTAATAAATCACAGATCGACAATCCGTGATCAATCGATCATTTAGCGTGGTACATATCCGTACGCTGAATGCCATTTTAATTATGTGAGTAGAAAAAATACATTTGGGCCATTCAAATACAGAACGTTAAGAAATAAATATCGAAAATTGAAAATTAAAACATTCGAATACAGAAAGTTAAGAATTAAATATTGAGAGCTGAAAATTGAAAACTGTACTCCTGTCATAACTAAGGTATTCAGAGGTAGAGTAAAAACTATGCAGTACCAAAAATTGTCTGACTTCTTTCTTGCCTGACCCCATACAATCATATTATATGACACAGTCGAGTATACAAAGGCATAGTAAATATTATTCAGAGAATGGGTGTACAGATTGTTTTTTAGAGATGAAATTGCAAAAAAAACTTGAATTAAGTTTTCGACAAACCAGGAGTTTTACAGAATAAAAAGCTTTTATAACAGTGTTGTTGAACGAAATTCTTCGATTGAGTGGTGGATGATAACTATTGTGGAGCTCAATGATCTGTCTTATCATAATTAATTATCATGTCGTTAGATTGGCACCATATCGAGAATTCGGTCATCGTTGTGTTGATTTTATTAAAAATATCATCTGAGTCTGGATCTGATAGAACTATGGACGTATCATCGGCATACATGAGAACTCGTCCTTGGGATATACATTTCGGCAGATCATTGACAAGAAGTAGGAAAATCAAGGGCCCCAAGACACTACCCTGGGGAGTACCGAAGTTTATATCATATTCCTGTGATACTATGTCCTCAATCTTCATGAAGAAGTGTCGATTTTGTAAATAAGACATTATCCAGTTGTTAATTGGCTCCCGGATACCCATTTTTTCAATCTTTTCAGATACAAACGAATGAGATATTGTGTCAAACGCCCGACTCAGGACAAATAAAGGGTCTTTCAACAAGGACCGGTCGATGTTGACAGTGTGTAGCGGCCATGTTTTTTTGGGGGCATCTGTCAAATCTGCTGTATTCCATTCAGTCACTGATGCCAAATTACCATGGCAAGTTACACGATCGAGCAGCATGTCCAAATGATTGAACTTTATTATCAAAATGATTGTTCGTTAGTGCAAACGTTGCGCAGACGCGGTGGTCCTTCATAGTCGACTCTCCAAGTTTGGTAGCCAAATTCGAGACAACCGATTCGGTAACAAACCAAGCAACACCCTTACGTCAAAATGCGTCGAAGGAACGCCAGATCGGCCGATAATATCGACGCTGTTCGTCAGAGTGTTTAGGAGACTCCGAGGCAGTCGATTTCTCGCCGTGCACAAGAACTAGGCCTTTCGCAGACTTCAACATGGGGAAATTTGCGCCTGGACTTGGGCCTGCACCCGTACAGGATCCAACTGACCCAGCAGCTCAAAGTTAATGACCATAGGCAACGCCGTTTGTTCGCTTAGTGGGCTTCGGAACGTTTGGAAGACGACCCCGATTTTGGCCGAAAAATAATATTTAGCGACGAGGCCCATTTTTGGATAAATGGTTTTGTTGATAAGCAAAATTGCCGTATATGGAATGAACACAACCCACAGGAGGTTCACCAGGTGGCAATGCATCCACAAAGAGTTACTGTTTGGTGTGGATTTTGGTCCGGCGGCGTCATTGGTCCGTACTTCTTTGAAAATGACATTGGCGAGGCCATCACCGTCAATGGCGAGCGCTACAGATCAATGATTAACAATTTCTTTTGGCCTGAATTGAACGATATGGACGTGGACGACATGTGGTTCCAACAAGATGGCGCAACGTGCCACACAGCGAACGATACAATGGACATTCTGCACGAACGGTTTGAGGGTAGGGTTATCTCTCGCAGAGGTGATGTGAATTGGCTGCCAAGATCGTGCGATTTGACTCCACTAGACTTTTTCTTGTGAGGTTTTCTGAAGTCGCAGGTCTATGTTTGATAAGCCGCAATGGACTGATGCCCTGAGAGTGAACATAACGCAACCCATTGCTCAGATTCAGCCGGATTTATGAAGCAGAGTCATTGAAAATTGGACCTCTCGGATCCGTGCCACCATTCGAAGCAGCCGCGGACATTCAAACGATGTCATATTCCATAAATAATGGCATAAATGGGCCATTCAAATAAAATAAAAAAATCGTTAATATCTCACACACAGCTTGTTTTATTCAATTACAACATCGACCGGTCCTTGTTGAAAGACCCTTCAACTGTTGTTGGCTTAGTTCGCAATTTTGGTAATGTCTTGTAACAGTTTATCAGTATTGCGGATTAGTATTGTCACTACATTATTTCCCATTATTTCAAATAAATTTCAGCTTGCAGGATATGTCCCGGCGACACACCCCAAACAAACCCACCCTGCTACTGCTACCCCCTCTACTACGACCGCCAGACCGACAGCTGCGTACCTCTGCACGGTTGCCCCATAGCACCGACCCCTGAAGCCCCCAGTTTCGATCAGCTCGCTGCCGTCCTCAGCCGCATCGGAGTGGGCGAATCACAGTTGGCCGACGTTGCCAAGTCCAAAGAGGTGGGATTGGTAGAGAGAGTGCTGAGAGACAACCTCGAAATAGCGGTCGACCGGAACCTCGCCAAGCTGACAACTGTTGTTAACCCTTACATCATGTCCAACAGGAAGTTGTCCAACAGGTGTAACGATGATAAACTGTGCGTGTTGATCAGCGTTCTGGGGAAGAATGATAAGGCGATCACGAAGTACGTGGCTGATTTGGTGCCAGATTGGATAGACGCATTCATAGAGACTGTGGATGATCTAGTTGAAGCTGAGGAGGAGGAGTGTGAAGTTTCTGAGTGTAAGGCGCTCAGAGTTCTTACGACTCATAGAGACCAGGTCATAGAATTCTTGAAGGATCTGAAGGTTTATAATAGAGAGATCGCTGATCGGGTTGTGAAGCAGATTCTCAAGTTGAAGGAAACCAATGGGTCCAAGCGAGTTTGAGAAAACTTGACTTTCAGATATAATTATTTTGGTCATTGATATACGAGTGTTTGATCCAGTTATCTGAACTTCAAGATTTCAAAAATGAAAAAT